TATATATATATATATATATATATATATATATATATATATATATATATATATATATATATAGTTTTTCGTTTTACCTCAAAAAACCACAACAGTCTGTTTCATCCGTATAGGAATCATCAGGTGATGATTCCTATACGGATGAAACAGACCTTGATGATTCCTATACGGATGAAACACCACCTGACCACCTGATGATTCCTATACGGATGAAACAGACTGTTGTGGTTTTTTGAGGTAAAACGAAAAACTATATTACGCTTTATCTATATGGTATTGAGCACTGTTTGTGTTTCGTAAACCAAAATCTTAAGCTATATATATATATATATATATATATATATATATATATATATATAAACTTGTGGCTAGAGCTCGACAACTGGCCTCTGTAGCTTAGTTGGTCAGAGCGCTGCACCGGAATCGCAGAGCCGCAGGCTCGATTCCTGCCAGGGACCTAAAGTTGCATTTTTCGCTTCTGTTCCTGGTTGATAATTTCATGCATTCACAATAACTTTCAACTGTATCCTAACCAACCCTGTCAACTTTCCCTGTGGGAGGTAACCGGAGAATCCGAACGTACAAAACCCACGACTTTCGGCAGAGCGTCGCCGGAATCTTTTCACGTGAGTCCGTAGCGAGAATTAAAGCCACGCTCTCAGAGGTGAAAGGCGCTTGCTCTGTTGTCTGCACATGCTCGCCATCTTCTTACGCCATTACGTACGCACGCCATCATCTCGTAAGTAGGTGCTTGATTTACTACGAGACTTAAATTCCGTTGTCAAGTTGGGCACGGCTACGAGATTTAAAAGGCGTCAGCTCTTTACGGCGTAAGAAGATGGTTCCGTGTATCCCAGGGCCTATGAAGGTCGCGCGCGGCCGAAAGGCTTAATTGAAATAGCTGTATATTGCATAAATTATGCACGGTCCCAATTCCCAGTTCCGGTTCCTGTATCGCTGTATCGTTGTATCGCTTTTTAATAGTAACCGCGCTTTTTGGCGAGCACAAATTCAGCGAAAAGGTAGTTATCTGTGCTAACAATACTGCCAAAATCTCCCATATCTAAGATTATAGTATTTCAGGTCGCTCGCTGATCGCATATATGAAACTGGATGACCTTCCTCTGACTGCTTTGCAATGGTGCTTACCCGGATACTGACCTCTTTACAAATCCTCATGTAAACATACAAAGAATGTGCTCAATATTACAACTGCATGCTCTATGTTTATTTTTTTATTTAATGCAAGCGGTGTTTTAATAACAAGTAGATATTGGTCACTGATAAAAGTTCAAGCGTTGTCAGTATTTGATTACGTATCACGTATAGATGCAAATATTTTCTCCATTTGCCAATAATTGCGATGACTTTAATATTACCATACGAAACAAATATGTATATAGTGAAATAAAGTTATTATAGTATGTCAACTCGAGTGTGTTTTCTAATAATATTAGCTAGCTAGTATTGAGAATCACAGACCTATATTATTCATTTATGATTTCAAACTTTTTCTAAAATATATAACATTATAATGTTATATCATCATATTTATTGTACACATGAGCTTGCTCTCGTGAAGCGCGTGTGGTACAACACGATGGCATTCAACGAATCTGGAAGTGCGCAGAGTTGAAGGGGGCCAGATTGCTCAAACGACCAACCACATTCAACTGATTAATTTGTCTAAACTTTATTCACACTTACCATTTGTGCTTGGCTACTCGAATCACCGTCTTATTAAAATCACATCTACCCGTATAGACCTTCTCTCTTGGTAATTGCCACAACCATTTCACAAGTCCCTTGCTGTACACAAAAACATCATCATCTGTCTTCAAATAGTATTCAAACTTGCAAAATTGATGAGCCCATTCTAGACCAAGCTTTGTTTTTAATGTTAAGTTACCATAACTATCAGTGAATGACCCAATCACAAGATCGTTGTAATATTCCGATTCCGTTTCTATACTACGTTGAGTTTCCTTGTTAGTTTGTCCAAGTAAAAACACTGTTTTAACCAGACTTTCCCCAGTGTAAGACCCTTTAATAATAATATTTGATATTTCAGGATCCATGTCTTTAATTTCAGCCCATGTAGACCGAATTATAGACCTCTGTTCAAAGTTCTTCGGCGAAGAAATGACGATAATGAGAACAAACACAGACGTGTTGCAGCCGTGCGGAACCGTGCTTGAATTTAGGCGATGGCTTTGTCGTGTCGTCCATTTTGTCGCAGAATTACGGTTTGAATTAGGCCATATAACGGCCAGGCGTTCCTCGTTTGAATTTGTTGAGGCATACCTGTAATAGCATAGCCAAGTGTAATGCATTCCAAAGAACAGAAATAAGCTTTTGACGATAATACGAGCCAGATAGCGCTTCGAATATATATAGATCATTTTATAGTAGATCAACCGATAACCATATAAGATCATATACTGTATTGTTGTTTCAGCTTCACAATGATGGCCCAGGTATGGAATCCTGCGTAGGGTCAAGTGTTGCACCAATATCTTGATTGAAATTTTGGAAATAAAATATCAATTTACCAGAGTAAGTGTCAAGTGAGTCTAGAACAAATTTAAACCCAAATACACCTGTAGTTCCAAAGTCAACGGAATTAAAGTCGAATTTCCTTTTGCCTGCATGATTTACATGATATCTCCAAGTGCAGTGGCTTGATGTAAAACCTGGAATCTGGAATTTTAGAATTCTGGAATCTTGGAATCCTGAAATTCTTTCCTACAGCAACATCATAATTTCCTATAGCAACATCATAATATGATTATTATGAACCTTGCCGTTCTAAGTGTTTTAATTTATTGTTTTGCAAATCGATCTATTTTAAAGTCTTTATAAGCAAAATACAAATTGTCATAACATCTTAGCTTAAGCAGACCTTTTTCCTGCTCTTTGTTTTATCCTTCAGACCCAGTTTAGATAATATTCACTATCCACTATCGTGTTAATTCAAATTTGCCTGTTGGAGGGGGGCGTTGTGGTCTATTATTAGTTCGGGAACTGGAAACGGCAATGACAACGGCAGAGAAAAAAATTACATATATTTTGTATTCGAGCTAAAGCGCACATTACTAAATTTAATTGCATATTTAAAGTATTTATCCGCTTTCTTTAGAAAGAACCTTTGATGTTCGTTCAAGATTGCGTGACCGGAAATGCGTCACCGGCGCAAATTAGCAACGTGTCGTGTTGTTCACAAAGTTTTTGCACAGAACTATCACGAACTGAATCAAACATTTAGAAACAAATTTGTTTCGCTTATATTACTTTAAAAATAATGGGTTTTCATTAGGGTTTTGCCTGAATTCCAAGGCTTCAGTAGCAAAAGTAGTGAATTCACATAAATTGTGCTAAAACCTGGAAGATGGACGATTTTTACTTAACAATTTATGTAATTATACTAAAATGTAATTATACTAAAATATATTATTCTTAAAGATGCTGTAAAGTCCGTGATGTAAACAAACGCTTTGTTTACATTTTGAACTGCTACATTGTATATTTGTAAAATATGATATGCTCACTGAATATCTAACACTTTTCTGGTTCGCTATGCTTGTAAATGAATATATTAAAATTCTATGTGTTTCAATTCAAAAAAGCTAAAAAGATGTAAAATTTGGGCAATGTTTATATCTGCGGGTCCCCCTTTGTTATGAGCAGAACTGATGCGCAGAACGGACTTTACACGCCAGCTGCTTGTACGATCCCTGGGTACGAAGTTAAACTTGCGACAGTGTCACGACAGTTACAACCATATGGAAACAAGCGAATAAAAATCATTCACGATAAGTCGATAACACTTCAGGACACATTCGCGATAGTTACAATCATATGGAAACCAGGCTTATTAGAACCTTACGATGTGGGACGTCAACGTGATAGCGACGGCTATTCAAACAATGAGATTCACAATAGTTAAGAAAAAATGGATAATTTATTATTCATTAATATCCCACGGGAGTTTAAGTCTTTAAGACGTCATACACGTACAACGGATAATTGCATTGCCTATTGGATAAAACGCCTGCATTTTACAAGACGCAAGAGGTGATACTCAGCTGATTAGCTCAATACCACGGTAAAATTTGCTCAACAATTCAAACAATAAACCCACTATGTCAAGCTAACCAAACAGTATTAAAATGATATGATCAATAATTGTCTTATTTATATATACAAGCTTTCTTTACAATCGTTTATTTGAATGATTTTATTCTGGCCGTCGTAACCTTGTCGAAGATCTGAGTAGTAGATTCTGATTGGCCATTATACTGAGCTTAATGCTTCTGTTTGGCCGGGTTTAATATATCGAGCTTCAAAATCGAACTAATATTTTCTTGTCACTTGATGTTCAATGTAAATTTTAGGCCTACTTCTCTCGATGCTTCAAACTACTAAATTTTCGGTGCAGCGATGTCTCTAATGTATTGCAGATCAATATGATATTCAATTGAACAAATGAAATGCAACAAGGGTCGTAACTAATTTGTTGACCTTTTACTCAGATATGTCATGAATTTTCACAAATAAGCGCAATAAAGCGCAATACAGTCTGGAACACAGGCTAATTCGAAATCAATACCTACATTTAGCATTCTTATACATTTATAGTCTCCACGATAACCAAATTAAAGTGAATAGAATTGTCTATAAACTTAAGTATCAAATGCAAGATCAGAAAATGGCAAAATGCTAGTACGATTGTATCAAAACCTTTCAGGATCGAAACGTCATATTGATCTGACTGATAAACCACGTTCACGGCTATCTAAATTTAATAAAGGGAACGGCGAATCGGGGAATCCTTGCATTGAATCGGGGATTGAACTGAATGGAGTGCTGTTCAGTATGAAACGACGTGGAACGGGGATACAATTACAATTCGTACTGACACCCATTAATTTATTTATCTATAGGTGATCTATTTTCATATTTTAGAACACAGTAACAATATCTTGTAAACACAGTAGAAGACGATATATATTAAATATTTAGGAAGGCACGAAAGTGACGACGAGGATAAAAACGAGGATAAATATAGCGATATCGGGAATAATAAGAATCAGACAAAAAGAATCACATACCCGAGAGTCCCCAACTTAATCAGCGACAAGTTCTACGCTGACAACCATCAATAATAGTACCCTGTAGAGTGTAGAGGTTTGAAGCAGTTTTCCTGACTTGAACTGCTTTCAAATCCAGCAAATACAGATCTTAGATAGCCAATAAGCCTTCAGAAACCGCAGCAAAGATCTACGTGATATTAGCCGGATTTAAAAGCATTATTGTATACAATTACAAAAGACCACTGTGAAGCATCTGCTCCGCGTGTAACCCGCATCCAGCATTTACCCGCGCCAGTCCTGACTTTTTAACGTATTCAAGAATGGACTTAATAGTCTTAATAGAATGCGGCGAAGTAACGATAGTATCAGTTCGCCAAAATGCAAATGTATATCTACTATATGCTGTGCAAAAATAGGAATTGGACAACGAATTACCGTATTTACTCGTTTATGCGCCGCGGCGCTCTTTAATTAAATTTTTAGTGTTTATACCGACACGAACAATTTTTCAGACGGAACAATGTTTCAATAACTTCGGCGCTTATTCGATGGCGGCGCTTAAACGAGTACGGGCAAAAAATACATTAAAATGTTCTGTTTTTTTCATGACAGTGTTTTAAATTTACATATTCGCACATAATCTGCAAGTTTAATTGCAACACAATTACGTTGAAATACACCGTCTTGCTTTCAATTTATCATACTATTTTATCGACATACCATGGTCGGGGAGCATCTATTTGGAGCGGGTAGCGGGTCGCGGGTAAAAGGAGCGGGTCGCGGGTAAAAGGAGCGGTTAATTAAAAAAGGAGCGGGTAAAAGGAGCAGGTAATTAAAAAAGGAGTGGGTAAAGGAGCGGGTAATTTAAAAAGGAACGGGTAATTTAAAAAGGAGCGGGTCATTTCTCATGTGCGCCCCGGCAATCACTTGAGCCTGTTTGCTTTCTCTTGGACGACGCTCGAGATTTACTGTGGAGGCATTTATAATCGTTCAAATCATTCAACAATCCTAACCTCTTTATTTGAAAGAATCAGTTCTTTTTATTCTAAAGGTATGTTTCATGTTTTTATTCAACTATTTCAACAATTGCCAATAGAATCATTTTAATCATTTGCCACCCATGATGGCCGCCATGTACGTAAGGCTTGTGCGTACGCCGCCGGAAAGACATCTGTTTTTGAGCACTAAATAGCTGTATTTCAACAAGGAGAAAAGCTAAAAACTCTCAACAATACTTAAAATTTAATACAAAACCTGTTTCCAGAACGTAGAGCAGAATTAAAACTGTTTTCTCAGGAGTCAGAGTGCGAAGTTTTTTTTCGGCAAGTTCAAACTTGTGTAATATTTTGAATAGGAAACTGTTACCCAGGACGTTTTTGCTGTTAGTGGATGTAAAATACCATCCAGGAAACGAGGTTTAATTGTTAAAGTTGAAACCTTTTGATAAAAAAAATTTTTCTTGCTAATTTTCGCTCGAAAACAAACTTTTGACTGAATTTCCAGCTCCTCGAAGCTCTCTCTAGTCCTTCTGAAAGTTAGTTTATTCCGCGAGCCTCCCGAGCTTGGCTTCAAATTTGGCTTTAACCAATCATAGGACTCGATCTCTGGAGTTGTCGTTCCAGTTTTCTTATAGCTGACTGCGGTTTAGACTAGTTATAGGTTAACAAAAATACGCTTAAAAGTAAAATCCGGATGACTAAAATTTGAAATTCGGATAAATTTATAGTAAAAAACTGTTTATAGTTTCCTTTGCTCTATAGAGTTAGTGATGCATACCACAGTTTGGAGAGGCAATAGCCGAGACCGGCTGTAGATTTTTGAGTAGCACTTGTGTTATAACAATTTTTGTCCATTTGGTGACCCAAAAAACGTTCGGTTAGTGCATTGTACATATTTTCAGCACGTCTTAGTAAAACATGTTCAGGCTGTTAAATATCTGTCAATTTAACATTTGATAGAATTTTCGAGATTTTTTATGTAAAATCAATGGTTTCACTTAGTAAAAATAGTCCTCATGTTGCTTACACTTTCATAAAAAAATGCCTTTTTTTGCTTTAAAATTCCCCACTGGCGCTTAGCACCTGGGAAATGACCGGCTCCTTTTCAAATTACCCGCTCCTCTTACCCGCTCCTTTTTTAATTACCCGCTCCTTTCACCCGCTCCTTTTTTTAATTACCCGCTCCTTTTACCCGCGACCCGCTCCTTTTACCCGCGACCCGCTACCCGCTCCAAATAGATACTCCCCCATGGTCGATATAGTAACATGATATATACGTTCAATGGGCGAGATTGTATTTTAATTCTACTTACATATCTTGTTTGGCGTGTGTTTCATCGGCGAGAATGTTGTCTATATTAATATAAGCCTTGTGTTACTTTTGATTTGCGTTTGAATATGTCAGCTATGTCAAATGATCGTAAGTCCAAACTCCAAAGTACTCGTATTCAAGCGGTGAATGTAAAAGACGGACTGGCCTTGCGGAATGGAATGCGGAATGAATGTGGAATGACTGCGGAATGGTTGCGAATGCAAATTCCGCGATAATTTTAGTTCGCGACATTTTTCTTTGTTTATCAAATTGCGAGCGAATGATTTGAGAATTTTGAATCGTCAAAATATAGTTGTTTTTTAAATTAAACTGTAATTTTGTTATTTAATTATTTAAACCATTCAATATTATGAAAGTGGTATATAGATATATTTATATTTTTAATTTGAATGAATGAATGAACAACTTTATTTAAAGAGGGTAAAAACACATGACAGCAATATAACTGAAAAACCTGTGGCCCTCATATACAATACATACAAAGTTATTAATTCTACTTTAAAACGTCTAAAAGCTATTTAGAGTAAATATGTAAAAGATCTTAGGATTATAAATTTATATATACAAATTATATACAGTACAACTTGCTGATCACAATAATAATTCAAAGCGATCAATGCCCTTATAAGATTCTAAGAAGTATTTTTTAAGGGCAAACTTAAAGGAATTAACGCTAGGTTTCGTCTTAATATCCTTCGGGAGATTGTTCCATATTTTAATGCTGCTGACCGTTACAGATTTTCCTCCCTCAGTTGCATAATTATATTTAGGACACACTAGATTATATTCGCCATGACGAGTTTGTCTACCATTAATTTCATTGTTTGTTTTAAATAAGTTCTTAATATACTGCGGAGCTTGATCATGCAGGCTCTTGTAAACTAAAGTGCATTTGTTAATTTTAACTTCGTCATAAAAAGGTATCCAGTTCAGTTTATTGAAACTGGCTATTGACCTGGAGGAAGTGTCAGTTCCTAAAATTATCCGAGCTGCTCTTTTTTGTAATTTGAAAATTCTAAGCAGATCATTTCGCGAGCAGCAACTCCAAATAGAACTACCATAGAATTACCAATTTCGTGATTTTATCGAGTATTCTACATTCTACAAAATCTACTATTAAAAGTCTGAACACGATATGACAAACACTCACAAGAACAAATACAACAACTGACAAACAGAACCTCAACTATATAACATTATACTATTAAAATAGCCTTTTAATTTAAAAACACGGGCCGGCGCTGATGGTCAAAAGCTAAAAAAATCCGCGTTTCTATAACTTGATAAAAACACGGGGAATAAATAGAGCTAACGAAACAAAACAACGTAGATGGGGCCCCTAGATGCAAAATATGTCACTTGGCCGAAGACGACTTGAACACGAAACTTATACGAATGCTACGACATAAAATGAAAACAGAAAATCTGGTTTTGTT